TACCCGTGGACCTTTTACACCCTAGCCTGCAGCCCGTCCAGACATGACTCTACGTCAGGCAAAGTGACCGCGGCAGAAAACACCGGCAATACGACGCTGCGAAACAACACAAGTGCGGAGATGATGCATGCTACTGAAGATACAACGCTGCATTCATCAGACTAGTCGTCTTTCAAAGCATGTGTAGACTCAAAGCTGCCCGCAACCCCCCGCTGGAAATGGTACCAATTCGCACTACGGGACTGATAGTGTTATGATGGACGCAAGCACGATCTTGCAAATTGAAGACGCCGTCGAAGAATGGACCTCGTCCTTGGGAGGAGCACAGTGTTCCTCATCATCTGGCAAAACCTGCAAGTAGCGAGCTTGTTAGGGCAGTCGTCCAGGAACCTGATCTTACAAAATGAATGACAACGTTTTGTCACAGCCCGGTGGACTGGACATATCACAGTAGAATTGCTAACATGGCGCACATGCACACCTGATGAAGGCTCAATATATGAAAAGAAGTCGTTATCCGCCTGCTCGCATGGCTTGTTGTCAATCTGATACGCTAAAGAACAATCGCATTGAAAACTCGATGCAAGCCAATTTAGATTCCTCCTGTTCCAAACAATTCCAAGTGAACCCTCTTCAACTCCACGCCTTGTTCCGCCAGCCAGGTCCGAGTCTGAACCATCCATTCGGGTGGCCCGCAAACAAAGTATTCTGCCTTGTCATTATCAAGGCGCAAATGCGCACTTCGATCCAGTCTATTCAAGTCCATTCTCCCTTGGAAATTGTGCTCGTCTCCCTCTTTGACATTTTTGATGAAAAGGGCCGACGTTACGTTTTCATGGTCCTTGGAAACTGAACGAATGTGTTGACCGAAACATACAGCCCCAGAGTGTCGCGCGCCATGGATGTAGCTAACACGGCGAGTTGGACTGCCGGACTTGAGAATCGAATCCAAAATCCCGACGACGGGTGTCGCACCGACTCCAAGACTGAGTAGGACGACGGGAACATCAGGATCTGCGGCCTCGGCGTCAAACGAGAAGACGCCACGGGGAGGGCTGAGTTCCACCTCATCACCAACACTGTACCTCTCGAAAAGAATGTTGGAGATGAGGCCCGGCACTTTGCCTTCGGAAACGTCCCGAGTGCTCGCGTTCAGGACCGTGCTCCCTCTCTTGACGGTGACTCGCAGCTGGTCTTGAGAGTCGATGGGCGCAGAGCTGATGCTGAATTGTCGGCTTTGCAGAAGCCCGTCGGCCTCGGGGACGGGGACTTGGAGCGAAACATATTGCCCAGCAATGAACTTCTTCAAGGGCAGCCCATCTGTTGGTTTGAGATACAGATGGAAGACATCCTCCGAGTCTTGTTCCTTCTCCGCAATGGTGAACTTGCGCCACGATCGCCATTCTTGGCCGTGCTCGCTGTAAAGCTGTTCCTCGCGCTGGATGAAGATGTTTGCGAGCTGCTGATATGCCGCGATCCATGCGTCCTTGATTTCTTCCGTCACAGCACTGCCGAGGATTTGCACAAACGCTTCAACGAGAAACTGCCCGACAATGGGATAATGCTCGGGTTTAATAAAAAGCGAGGCATGCTTCTGGGCTATTCGCTCAACAGCCTCGCCCAGTTTCCCGAGATCGTCGATATACGCCGCGTAAGCAAAGACGGCGTTGGCCAAAGCTAGCTGCTGCGCCCCGGTCTGCTGGTTGCGCAGGGAGAAGTAATTCTTCAGCTCGGGATGGACAGACAACAGGTTTGTGTAGAATGCATCTGTAATCGCCCTGCCGTGCTCCTTGATGATGGGCGCGGTGGACTTGACAATGGCGATTTGCTCGGCTGTGGGTGGTGCGGCCATCTTGGGCGGGCTGAGAGCATCAACTACAATGGCAATCCCCTTCTTCGGGACCTGATTCAGTGGTATGGACCACGTTTAGTTTATCTAGAATATACAACCCGTTGTCTCTAAGCGTCGTCTCTATCTGAGCAAAGCCTGAGACTTGCGTGACGCCCTTGACAGAGCAGCAGCACGTAGCAATTCGGTTTTACGCTACTGGCTGGTCCACGAATTACGAATTAGAAGCGATGGAATAACTACATGTCGTAATTTTGTTCTCGCGTTGGTCCACTCCCGCTCCGTACCCGTCATACCCGCCGGGCGAACCGAAGTCGACAACTCGCAGCAGGTTGTGCAATATTGGGCCGCCAGAACGCCACATGGCGGCCTAGAAGAGTCAAGTGTGCAACATTTGTGCAACATTGTTTCCAGGAAGTGGAGTCCTAACTGTGAACAAGCTAGTTTATTAACCAGCCGGTGCCACGCGCAACATCACCGATGGTGGCACTGCGTTTCAACCAACAGCCAACTTACTCCATGCAGATACCGTCACAAGCAAGTGACTTCGGCACGACGGGCAAGGCAACCGGCAAAGGGAAGACGCATCCCGGCATAGGATCTGCATACAAAAGACTTCCATGGTGAAAGCACTTGCATCGGAACTACAATTGTGTTCATTTTGCGTCAACTGCGCCCGGCACCACACCGACTGCGCCAGCCATGGCAGCCCTTCTTCGAAACGAATGCAAGCAGGCTCTCGCAAAGAGCCTGCCATGGACAAAATCGCCTCTTGTCATTAGCGCGCCCATGCGCGTCATGACCGGGCCGAGCCTCGCGGTGGCCGTCTCTTCTGCTGGAGGCCTTGGGTTTCTTGGGCCGACCCTCAAGCCAGAAGACATCTTTGCCGACCTCGACAAGGCAACTGAGCTCCTCGGCTCCTCGTCAATCCAAGGCGCTGCTGGACAATCGCTACTCCCCATCGGCGTCGGGTTCCAGACTTGGAACGGCGACCTCAAGGTGGCCGTATCTGCAGTGACCAAGCACCGCCCCTGTGCCGTGTGGTTGTTCGCACCGCGTCACGGCCAGGCCGAATTCAATGAATGGACCACGGCCATCAAGGGTGCATCACCAGACACACGGGTTTGGCTGCAGGTCGGCTCCCTCAGCGAGGCTGTCGACGCTGCCGCCAGCTCGACACCACCCGACGTCCTCGTCCTACAAGGAGCCGAAGCAGGCGGGCACGGCAGACACAGGGATGCGCAGGGAACGATTGCCTTGGTCCCAGAGGTATCCGATGCGTTGGGAGACAACAAGATCCCGCTGATTGCTGCGGGAGGCATCGTTGACGGTCGCGGAGCCGCGGCTGCACTTACACTGGGCGCTGCAGGCGTCGCCATGGGCACGCGTTTCCTGGCATCCAGAGAGGCCCGGATTAGCAAAGGCTATCAGAATGAGGTTGTTCGAGCATCCGACGGCGCCAAGAATACTGTGCGTACGCAGCTGTACAACCATTTACGTGGCACGTTTGGCTGGCCGGAACACTTCTCGCCTCGCACATTGATCAACAAGAGCTGGACGGATCACCAAGCTGGAATCCCGTTTGACAAATTGAAAGAGCTGCATGATGAGTCTGCCAAGGCTGGGGATGCTGGCTGGGGTCCCGAGGGGAGACTGGCAACGTATGTTGGTGCCGCTGTAGGACTTGTTCGAAATGTGGATGATGCGGCCGTCATTGTGCGCGAGACTCGAGACCAAGCAAGGGCCATTCTTACATCAGTTGTTGCTCATCTGTAACCAAATTGACTAAATTCTGTAGCATTCACATGGTACCGGCAGGAGTATGTACAGCTATCCGAGAATGTTGCACCTGAATGGCATAAATGATATGTTGCAACTTAGGAATCACAGAGACTGATGCCATGATAACGCAATGACAGAGTTGGTCACGCATATGGATGCTCTGCGGTTCAGAAGACTTGACCAGCGGGCGTGCAAAACATGACTTGCTAACCCTCCGTTTGGTGCTCCTCCGTTGAGTAAGGGTCTGTCACTTGTCCATTCTCTATGGGATATTATCAAAGTTCAACGCTGTCTCTCAAATGTGTGGGCACAAGAACCTGCAAGACCAACACCTGGTAGAAGCTACGTGCAGCAAATGGCGCCAGTAATGACAAGTCAGCTGCAACCTCGGGTTGGCCTTTGTTCTACAACAGAAACTGTAAATTTGACGTAATTGCAAAGGTAAACTGGTCGCGCGATACACGTGTCTTCCGCTTGGGTAACGCTTTCCCATCATGTCCGACACCAGCTCATGTGTTACATGTGCTCCGGCATGACTCTGTGCGAATCAACAGTCCATAGCAAAGCCCAGTCATGTCCGACAGGGTCGGGCAAATACCTTGGCCGGTTGATCTGAATTACTCTTGTCCTCAACTTTACTTGTATGCTTTTTCCCCTCCCCGCTCCTATAACGACCTACACATATGGTAATACGGAGCACCTTGGTGTTGCCAGGTTCTCCAACATCCTTGCATACGTCGCCACAGGTTCATCCCATAACCCGTAACCCCGACTCCGGGGATCGTGTGGATATTCGGGCAAAGCGGATAGAACGGTTCATAACGGCCCGCCGCGACCCTGAGACTCCACGTTGGAGCGGGCTTGGACGGGGAATTTTGCGAAATACAGTCCGCGCAGGGCAGTTTCCCCGTGCCCGGTTTCAGCCCTGTACATACATGGCAACTAGCTGATGCAAGTTACGATACGAGTTGCCAAGCACGGTTCCTGCTCGGCCAGACAACGTGGATCCGTGGCAGGGCGGTAATGGACTGGAGAAGCTCGATTGAGGGGGCTCCAATCGGGCAAATGCTTTCTTAGATGCAAGTTAAATAAGCGTTTCTCACTCCAGTATTCTGGGCATATCCGGCATTCTCGTCCACACAATACACGGCGAGATTCCAAAAGCAAGGCTTCGGACACGAACAAACACAACCTTGGCTCCGCCTTGAAACAAAGTGATTCAAGAAAAAGGCCCAGCAGATATCCACATTCACGCCTCACACAAGCTGACCACAATGTCTTCTGATGCAATGAATGATGAACTGCACCGCAAGCTCTTTGCCGAGGGACTCAAGGTTCGCAAGGAAGTCCTCGGCGATGAGTATGTGGAAAATGCGCTCAAGAAAGCCACACCATTCTCCCGGCCCGGACAGGAGCTTATTACCGAATGGGCATGGGGTACCGTCTGGCAGCGGCCTGGCCTTGACCGTAAGCAACGCAGTCTCTTGAGTAAGTGACAAGTTTGGTCCGACGTCTCCATCTAGCACACGTGGGAATCTAGATTCGCTGACAGGCGGCCTGTGATAGCTTTGGGTTTGATCATCGGCCAGAAGGCCTGGCTTGAGCTTGGCCTGCACACACGCGGCGCTATCAACAACGGCGTGACGGAGCTTGAGATTAGAGAGGCAGTCTTGCATGCTACCGTCTACTGCGGAACGCCTTCTGGCATTGAGGCCATGATAGTTACGCAGAAGACTATCAATGACATGATTGAGAAAGGAGAGTACAAGCGGCCAGAACAGTAGTCGCCACCACGTCCAATCCCTCGTTGAAGTCTGGGGAGCTAGTAGGGAGTTTCGTGAGATATCTTGTTTAAACGAGAAGAACGCTTTCATGTAACTGAGAATGTGAATTGATGAGTCGCTCCCTGATCATGGTCTTCAGAGCAGCCACCGCCGATGAAAGCGTGGTAGAAATTCCTACATAATTTAGCGGATGGGCTGGCATCAACTTGCATCTTGAATTCTTCTCGAGAGACATGTTCTAGCCAAGTCCGTGCAACTGCGGCTCTATCATTGAAGATTGATTTTTTTTTTATTTGCAATTTGGATACACTTTTCTATCAATGCCAATATCAATATAAACGTCTATCTATCCTGGCCCCATGTTAACCAACCGTGGCAGCCTGTTTTAAAAGCTGAAGAGCTACAATTTCACCATGATTCTCCAGCTTTCCCGATACCTTTCCCCTCTTGACTCGTTACTTAAGCCACAATAGCCATTGGCAACGAACTCGTCTGTATGACAGGTTCGCAACCCTTGTCCATCTCGGATCTGGCGGCATGCAGCGCGGCCCGGGCTACGGCATCAGTGTCTGTGAGCGTCACCGAGTTCACGCCTGGACGAGCTCCCGCAGCCGTAACCCAATGGACTCCCTCTGTAGGTACGCCAACGGCAAACCGTCTGGGATGGGCTCGCCCCTGAGCGTCAACGATCTGGTAGGGGCTGTTGGTGATGTCGATGCCCCCCGTCTCGTAGCCGTCCAGGACGTGTGGCCTGCATTGGCCCGTCTTGAGCAGATGGGACAAGAGTTCATCGGCAGTGTGCCTCAAGTTTGGCTCCGGCAGCCGGGCCTCGATCAGAGTCGTGCCTCGCACAGTCCAATCCGGAATCTCGGGCGACGAGGCAATCCAGACACCGTCCTCAGCCTGTACCCGCATCCGTGGACCAAGAACATCCAACACCCCGGCCTCCATGAGAGCAATCATTTGCTCTATACGCTGACGAGGCGGTCCTATGGACAAGAAGGCGTTGAGCGGCGTGTACCATCGGTCCAGGTGGTCCCTGTACGATGACCCTTTTACACCGTTATGATCCACAATGAGGCGCAGCTCGTTGCGTATATCGCGCATCACATCAAGAGCCGCCTTCAAAGGGCCATCCAGATTGCCCAGGGCCGCCTCCTTGGCATCCTCTTTCAGGTATCCGAGCAGCCATGTCTTCCATGCCCCGGCCGTGGAGAACGTGCGGTTGCCCTGTGGCCGTTGGATGCGTTCCCAGGACCATCTGTCGGCCTTGGCAATTCCAAATTCCTCGAGGAGCTGTGCTTCTTGGCGGCTTTCGTGAGGAGCCGCCAGGAACCGCTGGCGGAAGTTGAAAGGCGCAGTCGCCATGGAAACTCCGTTTTGTCGTGCTCGGAGCACCGCTTCATAGTACACGACTTCGACCTCCTTGGCAGCCAGTGGCCAGATCTCCTTCATGAAGTCTGGAGCGTTGCCGGCATTTGCGCGCTTGTGGAATTTTGCAATAACGTCTTCGGTCAAGACGAAAGGCATGTGACGACCGAAGGCGCCTTTCGCGTTGTCGCCACGGGCATGGTAAGGGATCCCTCGACGCGAGCCAGCATACATGTGTGGCTCATTTCCCGAGGCGTGATAGACGAGCTTGCCTTCGGACGAGGTGGTGAACCGTCCGCCGCGTCCGGTAGTCAGCAAAGCCATGTGGTCAAAGAAGTTGAGGCCCAGGCCGCGGAGCACGACGGGCTCCCCGGGCCGGATGACGGAAAGATCAAGATCGGCCGGATTACTGGGGGCGAAGTGGCGTAGCCTATTCTCCGACGCATAGTTGGCGAGCTTCTTCAGTTCGGGGTCCATATGCAGCGGAAGATGCCCCTGAGCCAGGATGACCGCCGCCAGACCTGACAAGGTCTCGCCGGTAGACAGGGTCAGAGTCTGACTGCCGTCAATGGCATCCTTTAGTCGGACGGCAAGGGCAGAGTGTACCTCGATCTTCACATTGGGCGGCGCTCTTCGAACCACCTCGCCAAACACCCATTCTAGGTAACCGCCATACTGAGAACGTGTGGCGTAGTCATCTGGCCCTAGATCTGGTTCAGCCTCCTTTGCCCAGTCATGCAGACTAGGGCCAGGGCGGATGGGTCCGGCGCAGACAACGCTATCATCTGTGAACAGGGTTACTTGGGAGGTGACCGTGTTCATCAGGAGTTGGGATGACTGGTCTCTACGCCACACCATGCCCGGACCCGGAGGAGATGGGTCTACCACATGGACGGTAAGCCTTCCGGACGGTCCTAGAAACTCCGATGCTGAGGAGCATAGACGCTCCAGCGAACTTGTTCCACGGGGCCCGGCGCCGACTATAGCAACATGGGCGTGGTTGACTAGGTCAACATTACCAAAGTCCAGGGGAATGATGCTCACTGTGGGTGAGCCCAGAGCAGCTGAGATGTTCTTCATGGCGAGAAAGGAATTAACGGAATAGGTTTGGGGCTAATGCTGATATGACAAGGTGTGAATGAATGTGTGGGCAGCTTGCTTGGAAAGGCAGGATGGGATGACAGATGAAGCTCGTTGGAGGCTATATATACTGCCAGGTATGACATTGAGGAGACAGCTTTTGAGGCAGTAATGCCTGTTGCATCATTTTTCTGAATCACACCATTCAAACTCGGCCAAGACAAACGAAACGCGACTCGAAAAACCGGGATCCTGCATATTCGTTGCTTAGCTGAACAAGGGGTCTTGTTGTCGGTGTGCTCGCTGGCGAACTCGGTTGTATTGTGCATACATAGGTCAAGCGTAGTACTTGGGAAGCAAATGAATGATGGCATTAAAATCTTGGCCTCCGAAAAATATCTGATCTGCAAGGAATACTTGTCAACTCCGATTCTTTGCAAGAAAGAGGCTTTCTTACGAATCAGCCGGGACTAAGCCTCGCATGCATGACTTGTAGCATCGCAAACCACGATCTGCAAGCTTGGCAGGCAAGAAAGGCAGTGTAACCGGATATAGCTTTTGACTAACCTTGAGGAGTCGGATTCGGACTTTTCGCAGCAAGCATTGACAAACTTGGGCTCTCAATCGGCATAATACAAAGCAAAAGGTCGGGTATAAACGAGGGCCAATGTGGGTACTGAGGACTCGCACGCAGGTGGACATATGGGTCCCTCAAAACATTGTCGAGGAATCTTTGGATTCTTGCCTCGACGATGGCTCGCGTTGATGACGGTTGTGGCCTAGTAAGACTGAGATTTCGGAAGAAAGAAGCTCTCTTGCTTGTGACATGGAAGGTCCGACTTCACCCGGTCCGCGAAGAGTCAGGATCTACATCTAGAACATGGCAATATCAAATCATGACACGGGTAGTGTAGCAGTCCATGGTTTATTGCCACTACAAGTATATTGTGTGTGCCACTGCTTTGAGCGCATGCGGACTCGGGGGCCTATGATAGGAAGACACAAACGTGATTAAATGTTGTACGCAGTTGCAGTCCGCAAGTCAAAAGTCCCGGTATCCACCTAGGCAAACACGTTTCATGTATCCAAGTTGGATATGCCATGCACCTACTGTCTACTCCCCAAGTGCAAACAAGGAAACAGAGCATCGACTCGTTGCGTCTGCCACTACGCGCCTGCCAAGCTTTTGTATGTAAGCCAATATCAAACAAGCAAGTGCGCAACCAACTCATACGGTGGGTCGATGGGGGAGGCGTTGCTCGTCTTGGGACTTTTTGGCAATATCATATGCGGCGGTCGTCAGCAACAAACGCCATCTTGCCTGTGATGTGTCGAGACGGCTTCCCCACGGATTGCACAGCCCAGATGCAATAAATTTGACACATCTGCCGTGCAAGCAACCTAATGGGTTTAAACTTTCATGCCAGTTGTTTATGACGAATCATTATTGCGACATACTTGCCTTTGCGTATCACAGCAGCTACGTCGAGTGGCAGTTCAAGGCTCTGGGCAAGTTTTGTGACCCCAACACCCGAGTGGGGTAGCGACAGTAATAAAGTTAATAGACAAGCTTCTCCCGTCGCTGTTGGCTTGGACGACGTGATGCATCGACGGAAGCATGTGCGAATGGGAGTCAGTGATCGGCAGTGTCACAATGCAACGCGCAAATCTTGTGCCCTCAACCTGCAACCATTGTTTCCATGCCGCTTCTTGGCGAGTCCGGGAACAAGTCATCTACCAACATGCACTCTGATTGAAGCATGAATTCGAATTGTGGGGTAGTTGCTTGTCGTGTAGTAACAATGAGGCGGGTTGAGAAAGTGCCTACAATACAACGCTGATGTGACGACTACCTGTGGTCATGCGTGGCGATGTAGGAAGTGTACAAGGATCCTTGAGCTACCTGAGCTCTACATTTGTTTCTTCAGCTGAGATGTATGAGCCTCCCGATGTTTGTTCATCAGTCGACATGTGATCGATAAAGAGAAGCACATGATATGTGCATGGGGAGCGTATGGCAAATAGTTCCAAGACGTGAAATTGACGGACAACCACGGGAGACACTATAGTTTTACGCCGTGTATTTCAAAGCTATCAAATCTGACTGCGGTTGTGAGGTTTGAATTAGGTCGGAACCGGCGTGCACAACCCGAAGCTTGCGGTCTTCAGGGTAGCCTTGTACATGCGAGAGGTGCAAAACAAAATACCCAATTCTGATGCCGTGTGTTGTAAGACCATTAATTGCACTTTTCAATAGATAATCTCTAGTATCGCCACGCTATCGATAAGTTAGTTGCGGACTTGGCCCGGCTCTGAGTTACGACGTGTAGTACTGCGAGTTGACCGAGAAGACCAATAAGTATCTTCTATACAGATGAATATTCTTTTTCTGAAAATATTGTATCAACCTTTTTCCCTGGAAAGTTAGTTCAGAGTCCTACATGATTCTGTATCTATTCTCATAGCAAAATCGCTACTACTAGTGTTCTGGTTATATGAGATGCTTTACAAGGTCACATGGGCCTGGTAGAGAGTCTAGTGTAATTTGGCATAGAAATAAATGAATCATTGCTATTCAATATTTGCTGGCCATTTTTAAGATACACATCTATAACAACGTTCATGTATGCAATAGAGCGGGATACTGTGCCCGATGGACTTGTATATCACTATCTGTCGCGGAAATTAGAGCAAACGATAAAAAAGATTGATACTAATCATAGATTACGTGGACTTTTGATTTCATCGATGCTAATTCCAAGCCTGATTTGAGTCCTTTTATATTGCTACAACCCTAGAGCCCAAACGGCCATTCTGACGTGTCAAGGTCGTAAACGCCAGGTCCTATGTGTTACCAGCTCGAAACAGGGGAATCTCCACTCAAAGGGATGTTGTAAGAAGAAATTGGGCGTTGAAATTCTCTGCATCATCCAGTACAACAAGTGAGTGGCACAGGGGGAAAAAGCCTGCTGTTCTTAGAAAGGTACACCGTAACTATCTTCCAGTATCCTCCTAAGTTTTAGAAAGTACCTGTGGAATATTTTACCCGTCATTCGATGCCGCTCCAGTTTAATCTGAATTTTGGTCAGACTCTACAACTCGATGAACCTCTAGCCTCCAAACATGGGCGCCTAAAGAGCTCATTCATTTTCCTCCTCTTTGGCCCATTCCGACCCACGATGGGTAGCTTCAGTGCAAAGCCAGTATCACGATATTGCCATTCTCTTTTTATTTCCCCGTTTGGAGGACCTCCTAGGATACCCACATGAGAAAGGCGCACAAAAAGACTGACATCTCTAACTGTCCAATACCTCCATGGGTTCAAGCGACGCTTATCACTCGAGTATTCTGGAGTCCGGCAAAGGCAATATATGAAGAGTTTGAACCAAAGAAGTGGCAATATCTGTGACTCTAATGCTGGAGCGGGAAAGTTTTCTCCTATTAGCCCATGAAGGAGGCAACCATGATTTTATATTATCCCGTTGAATTGAGGTTTTCGACAAGCATACGTGTGAATAAAGCGGCTCATCGCTGGCATCTGTTCCGAGGGCTACATATTTTATGGCGACATGGAAAGAGACCGATGGCTTGTGCTTCCTTTTCTAGTTCTGATGGCAATAAGTTTCTGTCTGACGGTAACAGCCTTCCTTTTTCTTTTGCCACCGCCAGGCTTGAGGGTTGAATGCACTGGACAAGAAAAACATCATGTACCATTTTGAATTCTTTGTCTACTGACTAATAAAACCAGCACAAATACGGGCTTGGAAATCGTCAGCACTCAAGTACTGAGCCTCTGGCGTCACCGCTCGCACAACTAGACTGCTGACGACCAACAAACTACTCGTACAGCGAGGTAGTTCTATTTCGTCTAGGACGTCATAGTACAAACCAACTGGACAATTGATGTGTGGATAGTCTGAGAATCTAAGGTCTTACTAGATATTATGATCAACTGATTCTCTGTCAAGGTCACTATCAGGTTCCTGCTATTTGCAATCCCGTCAATAAAAGGATGCTGTGGGCGCACAGTAGAATCCAGGGTTTTGATCGGGCATCAATTCGCTATTCAACATGACCCGTTGTCCCAGTTGTCATCCGTTTTGGTTGAGACTGTCCCTTCGATGGCGTACGCCACCCAGCTTGTATAGTGTGGATGACTGGCACGTGCTGAACATGGGCTTCCCCATGGTGAACTCGTACAGTGCGTACCGTGAAAAGGTCGCATTCCTCGCTGCTTGTGAGGCTGTGTCCGCCATGAGTGGTCAGAAGACCCCTGGTTGGGGCGGCATGGGCACAACTTGGCTTGAATAGAACTGACCAGACACAACTATGTTTCCCCCGCACCGACTGACAGTGGCTTCGCGGTGAGATGCAGCCCAACCCTTGGCAAGCACCTCTTATCTTTGGCCGGCAAATGTGGGTTATCCCCGGTATCACTCCCTCTCTTCACCATTTCGTCGACATCTACCGCCTGATGATGGATGGCGGTCGCTATGCGAAGCGAGCGCGTCAGGCTTGCGAGCCTTGCCGGTATTCACATCTCAGTTCGGAACCTTGTGAGATTCTGGGTTTTTTTGTTTGACACATGGATCATAGGAGGAAAAAGTCGCGATGTCCGGGAGAGCGACCAATCTGCTCCTATTGCGAGCGCCTTGGCCAACGTTGCGTATACAACACTGGGACCGGGGAATCGGGTAGTCAAGCTAGGCATGACAGAAAAATGGTTGGGCCTTTCCCCTGTTGTGTACCGAGTTTGCCACGGAATCAAGCTGATTGGGAGAGTAGGCGCATCGAATTGACAGTCTCGAGGGGAAAATGGACCAGCTTATACAGCAGCTTAGGTGAGAGACGGGTTGGCCACGAATACCGAGAGGTTGCCCAGTAGTTAATCCGCGCAGCCCTGTGGCCATGTCTGGTCGCCAGTCCGTGACACCTTATCCTCGGCCGACCAGCGGTCGGGCATCATGTGTTGGGGACATCTCATGGTGGGATGTGGGCGAGGAATGCGGTGAAGAGCTCTTGTATGTCATCAACTGGCCTTTGGTCTCCCCAGCATCCATATTGTACGTCGGCTGACTGTCTTTGCAGCGATTTACTCGTGCATAAGGAGAATCTGCTGGCCATGGGCCGGCTCTACCTGACTTGGTGTCACGGACAACCCATATCGCTGTTCAACCCCGACACATTCCTAGAATCGCTGACATTTCGGGATCTTGAACTAATCCTTGCACTGCAGACACTGAGCCTTCGATATCCACCTGGCACGCTGACGCCCCAGAAGCGCGAGAAATTGGATTCAATGGAAAAGGAAGCAAGGAGCGCCGCCATGAGCCGCATCGCAACTTCGGAAGCTGAGCTGTCAACCCTCCAGACACTGTGCATTCTGAGCATGGTCGAGTTCGCAGGTAACGACAAATTATGACAATTCTGGCCATTATGACCGGCTTTGGCTAACTCGTCGACTGTCGTAGATGGCAAAGTTGCCCAAGCAGGATTGCACGTGGCCATTGCAAGTCAGCTAGCTCAATGTGTGCAGCCCAACAACATGCTTGGGGATGCCCAAGAGTTCAACGATTGTGTCCATAGCATCATTATGCTCCAGAATCTTCAAGGCTGCATCCCGCCAACCACCGGTCCTGGCAGTGCTCTCTCCTGCGGCAACGCGCCTTCGATATCTCAAATCCACGCTGCGGCTCTTTCAGGCGTGGAGCCGTCATTTTCGTCATCTGGGGTGGCTCTCGGGCACAGCCAGATGGACTCGGGCATCATGAAGTATGCTCTCGAGTTGAGCGAGGCTTGGAGAATGGCCAGAGCCTACGCTGCAAGCCGCGTTGCCTCAGATGCGCTTCCGCCATGGAATCAGCGCTCGGATTACTCGGAAATCATGCATCTCCATCTCGAGTTTGACTGCCGTGTGCCGTTGAAGTATCGCTTTGCGGCTAATAAGTTTGCAGAACAGGATCGAGACGCTTTAGAGCAACACCGTGACTACTGGGGCCCGTGGCTCTTTGTACAGATTGTGTATGCCGTCATTCCATGCATACTCAACCATCCCTTCTTGTTGTCGATGCGACTCAAGAATTGTCGACACACGGTGCCTCAATCCTTCATTCACCACTCCTTTGAATACATAAACCGGCATGCCGGGTGGATAGTATACTTTATTAATTTGTTGGAGAAGAAGTCGTTTCACATTTCCGACCCATCGCTGGCTCATTGTATCGCCATCGTCGCCACAATTCACCTCCAGCACAGCTTCGTTCAAGACCGAGCGCTCCGAGATAAGGCTCAGCAGGGATTCGACAAATGCATGAGTTGCCTGCGAAGAATGGGGGGAACTTGGCCCTGTGTGTCCATCATGGTATTCTATATACTGACAGGCAAACACCGACTCCCACAATTTTAGTCGCTGACAATGCCTAGGCGAATAACCTCGCAAAATTGAGAGAAAGCGTGGGAGTCGTCCAATCTCCAGACTCACTCAACCGAGAGCTCGTCAGCGGCCGCAAGTCATTTTCCATAGACGCCCAGCTTCTATGGGACATTCTAATCTACGAACGCGCTGGCCGCCCAGACGCAGGCGCGGACCAGTCAATCTTTGGCAAGACGTTGAAAGTCGGCAGCAAGTCTCGCGAAGATGACGTGCGGACTGCTGCCGAATTTGATCTCGTGGGCTCAGCGGGCATATCTGGCCACAAGGCCGTCTCCAAAGAGACGCCGGCTTACGCACCAAACGAAGATGTGCCACCCACTCCGCGGGTTCTCGAGAACATGGGTGAAGTGGGCGAAGCTACGCCGGATATTGGTGTATCGGTCGAAGATCGCTTCTTCGAGGGCATCGGTGGCCGGGATGGGCAGGAACACTTGTTTCTTCAGGCCAATGACTTTGGGAGGGCTATTGACAATTGGCTAAGCTTTGATTCATTCTGATAATACTATCCCATCTGCTAATGAATAATCTTCTGACTACCATGCCAATTCGCAGTTTGCCTTGCGGCTAGATTCACATTCAAGCCGGTTGCACAAGTCTATATCCGCTTGCATCGTCCTTGTGACATTGTGTTTTGGCACCGCTGGCCATATTTCGGCCCCGGCTGCTTCCTCTGCTTCGTGATGTGTAGTCACCAGATCACGAGTCAGCTTTTGAAAGAATAACGGCCCCTGTGCGACGAGTTAGATGTGAAGAATTGTGCTACGGGCTCAACCTGCCTTTTCTACTCGGGGGTGCAACTCCCCGTTGAGGAATATGCCGGAATTCAGATTCTTCTGGGCGCCATTGCATAGTTCCTTGTCCTCTCTCATAATGTTCTTGAAGAAGTCGCTGATTTCAGTGAATTCAGCATCCGTGGCATCATCGTGTCTATACACCTCATACTCCATGTGCGTTTGGGTGGCAGAAATCGGTACGCAACGCTGAATGAAAAAAAAGTGCGGTCTGAGGCAGGTGATGACCGTTAGCAAGGTTTGCTCACATGCTGTTCATCAACGTTAATTACTCACGTCACAGTCATGGAGGCATTGGGATACAAGTATGTGCTCACGTTGCCCAAACTTTGAGCCTCTGGATCTTCTCTATCAACTGCGTAGTGTTGAATGTGACCTCCCGATGTCTCAACCCAGTATTTGGTCAAGTCTGTGACGGCAGGAAGTGCAGGATGTCCTGTAGGGCAATGGTAACACTGTTTCGTATATGTGAGTTTACCAATCTAGTTTCTCTGTATTCCTCTGCTGTACCACTGCAGCCACTTACCTCGTTGTAGTTGTCTGCGAGTACCTTCCAATTGTAGTCTCCAGTCATCTCCCACTCATGATCGAAATGGTACTTCTTCATGTCAAACTCCAACAACCGTGGTTGAAAGTCTACTCTTGCAAAGTCTTGTTCCCAAGGAACTGAGGGTGTGTCGTTTGCGTCAAGATTTACCCAGACAAACCCCAGGTTATCAACATGCACATGCACGCGGTACAAGCCGTTGTCTTCCCTCTTGAATGAAGAAATTTCCTGATATTTAGGTGCTTTGGCCAAGTGGCCGTCAAAACCATACGACCAACCTTCACAGAACATTTAGCAACTATGAATACCAAGCGTTACATTGCCAATCTAGTGTCTTACCATGATATTTGCATGCCAAAACAGAGGCCTTGCCAGAGTCCTTCTCAATAATGGGATAGGCACGGTGTCTGCAAACGTTATGATGCGCCCGAATTTGGCCTTGGCGGTCTTTAATCAAAAAGAAAGTATAGCCAGCTTCCGTTATTCGCACAAAGTGGCCGATGTCGGGAAATCGCAACACATGGGTAACGAGTAGCCACTTCTTAGAAAAGATGGCTCGCCTCTCAAGCTCATACATGGCAGGCGACGTGTACCATGCTGCAGGTAAAGCTTGTCCTGTCTTCGGCTCATCATCACACTTAATTGTGCTCTTCCCAAAACCGAACCAGCTCATTGTGCACTTGGGATTTGCGATGCCTGGTTATGATGTTGGATGAATAGTAAAGCACTGCGACTTGAATACGATGGTATAGCTGCTATCGCCAAATACGTCGTGAAACTCTATTATACCCAAACAATGTCTCATCCACCACGGTGTCACTCACCGTGATGCCGTTCTCAGCGCCCAGGCCGTCGGTAGCCCTCGATGACATTCAACACGTCTGAGCTGGAATCCGGACCGCATCCGTACCCATACATAATGGTCCTTGTTCCGTCTTCCGTGCCCACACAAGCTACATTACTGGACAAGGCGAACGCCACAGACGCAGGAGCACAAGTCGTGCATACAGACAACGAAGCGGTGGGCCTTGAACGAGGGGCAGCCGACAACTTAAAAAGACTTTGGACGTAACAGTTACTCATGGAGCACATCAGCAAACATACTACGTGGCGTGGCCGATAGTCTGCTATTCGACGACAAACTACACAACAGCCAAAGAAAATGGTGTCAGAAGGCCACCCCTCCGTATCAGAGCCCGTTGTTATTATTGGTGCTGGTGTGTTTGGCCTCTCAACTGCATTGGAGCTTACCACGCGAGGGTACGCCAACGTCACTGTTCTGGATCGCTACCTGCCCCCAGCGGTAGATGGGAGTAGCGTTGACATTTCCCGGATTATCAGATTCGACTATGGAGACCCTTTCTACAGCAAGTTGGCCAGAGAGGCTGTCCAACTATGGGCCACTGAGTACCCCGACCACTACCACCAAGTCGGATTCCTTATGCTTAATGAGAAGGGCGGATTTGCGTATACGGCCAAGTCAAAGCAGGTTGATGAGCAGTTGGGTAAAACAATCGAGGAGTATGCCGATGCCACTCAAATGCGCTCGATACGGCCTGGCATACCCGGCAAGTTGGAAGGAATGAGCGCTTATTACAATCCGAAGGGAGGATGGGCAGATGCAGCATCAAGTATTGCGCAGTTGGCCGCTCGCTGCAGCCTGGCGGGGGTTTCATTCGTTACCGGCGGAAGGGGCACCGCCGTGTCTCTGCTTTATCAGGATTCCAAAGTTGTTGGGGTCAAAGTTCTGCGAGGCTCTCCAATTCGTGCATCTCTGGTCATTCTGGCTACAGGAGCATGGACAAACCATCTGTTGCAAGTCGGACATGCTAGCTCAGCATCGGCGCAGCCAGTCGGATTTATCCAGTTGACAGAAGAAGAAGCCGCGGGCTTGAGGAACATGCCCGTCATGATCAATTCTAACAAGGGAGTGTTCGTTTTCCCGCCAACTCCCAGGTCAAACATCCTCAAGGTGGCTCGTCATGGCTGGGGATTTACTACCGAGGTAAGGGTTGACGATGGACATTCGCCTGCCAGAGTCATTTCGTGCCCACAGCGCGACAGCAACAACGCACGCAATTCCTATATGCCAGAAGACGCTCAAGAAGGCCTTCGGGATGGATTGAGAGACCTCGTTCCAGAATTTGCTGAGCGGCCATGGTCCCGGCTGCGCCTCTGTTGGTATTCTGATACGCCCGAAGGGGATTTCATTGCCGATAAACATCCCCATGTTCAAGGACTCTTCATCGCCACGGGTGGCTCGGGACAGTATGTGCTTTCAACGCTTGGCTTCGGCTTTTGACAGCTTATTCCTAACATGCATATAGTGGCTTCAAATTTCTTCCCGTTCTTGGCAAGTATATTGTAGATTGTCTGGAGAATAAAGCAGGGAAAGAACTAAGATGGAAGTGGAGGTATAGACTACCTTCCGGGGCAGACGACACAGTCAAAATAGGAGATGGAAGTAGAGGAGGGCCGCCATTGAGACTTCTCACTGCCGAAGAACAAGCCAAACTATAGAGCTTGTGTGTTTTGGTCGGATTTGGTACCCTAGTATTTTCCAAATAGCTCGGATCTTGCTTGAACGATCAGGCAAGCTTCGATCCTTGGCTACTATGCATTGTAAAGATGGAGCAGTATTAGTTATTAATTCGGATTCTGTCATGCCACTTGCATGACTACTTCGAGAAAAGACTATTTCTTGTTTCTATATTTCAAGTCTGCGCATGCAGCACGCAGCGTGGTCCCGTTATTACACACCAGCTTTCACTCGCGCCAGACCTCTAGTCGGGCACAAGTGGACGAAGCGCTGCATCATCGGGCATATCTCACGGCACGCGCATCCGGATCAAGACCGGTAATACCAAAGGCGGTGCCGGCCGTTGCTGTAGCCCAGCCGGGGTTCTCTGCTGCTCTTCAGCCAAGCCCAACCCCATGCTCCCTTTCTGCCAGTCGTAGGCCGCTTGCCTGGCCAACTACGTGGTCACATGGACTATTCACCGCTTTGTGGCGCCGTGTTCCTGTTCGTTTAACTGCTCGGTACAAGGTTGGCATGAGTCTGGACAAGAGTCGACACGGAACGGAAATTGTATCCGGCCCGGACGGTCCGCCTCATCTCACCACCCTTCAGATCGCGGACCATGGCCGATATATGTCGATGTTCGTACTTGCCTCATCAGCAATGTATTATGGGATAAAGCAGCCGACAAAATAGTCGGGTTCGAAACGAATTCTCTTACGGCATGATTACTTGATGAAAATGGATAGCACCGAAGCCTCGTCGGATCGGCGCCTCAGGTGCACTATAATTGGCGCAGGGTAAGTCGTCATGTCCAACAACTTGATATAAGACTCTAAACGTAATATAGAGTGTCGGGAATTTTGATGGGTAATTAAATTGACGAAACTCTGTTGAGGGAATAGGGAATCCTTGCTAACCTCTCTTAGCTTGCAAAATTCGAATGCATTTAGGAGCATTTGTAGACTTTCAGATACTAGAAAAGAATTCCGAACTGGGAGGAACTTGGGAAGAAAACCGATACCCAGGTAGAATATTTACATTCCCGTTCTGTTTATAATGTAGCGGACTTACTAAAACTACGCAGGTTGCGCATGCGACGTTCCAAGCCACTGTTACCAATTCTCTTTTGCACCAAATCCAGACTGGTCCCGGTTGTGAGTTGTATTTTTGATCTCTCCCTTGAAAGTCCGTTCCGTGCTGCTAACCACTCAGGTATGCATCTTCTTTCGAGATTAAGAACTATCTCAGAGCAGTTGCAAGGCGATTCCGTCTGGACGAGAACATATCGTATGACCGCAAAGTGGTGTCGGCAACCTGGTCCGACGACACGTCCACCTGGACTGTCCAGACGAACCATGGAGACACGGTAGAATCCGAAATCCTTGTCAACGCAGGGGGCATTTTGAATAATCCACAAATGCCAAATATAGAGGGTCTGGGTACCTTTGCCGGGCCAACTTTGCACACAGCCGCTTGGGACTCGTCCGTCGACCTTCAGGGCAAGACCATTGCGATAATTGGATCTGGCGCAAGTTCCATCCAAGTGCTTCCTCAACTCCAAGCGAAGTGCAAGCATATCAACGTGTATATCCGCACGCCGTCTTGGATCTGCCCGCCAGTCGTTGTACCAAATGCCGGCAGTAGCAATTACACCTATCAAGACGAGGAGAGGGAGTTATTCAGAAAGGACGAAAAAAATTACATCAACTCGCGGAAAGAAATAGAATCGCAGTTTAATAGCATGTTTGGCGCATTTTTCAAGCTGAACCCGGAACAACAGGATATGCGGAATCGATTTGAAGCCCGCATGAGATGCATTATAAAAGACGAGGAGTTGCAAAGACGACTGATCCCGTCCTTTGAAGCTGGATGTCGCCGTATCAACCCAGGGGAACAGTACCTTATTTCTATCCAGGAACCAAATGTTCAGCCTGTTTTTGATCCAATCCAGCGGGCCACACCAAGCGGCATCATTGCGGGAGGAGTGGAATATCCGGCAGATGTTATAGTCGCGGCAACAGGGTTCAATACAAGTTTCCGACCGAGATTCCCAATCATCGGTCGAAAGGGACTCAACTTGCAGGACATATGGGGAAAGGATCCAATCTCGTACTTTGGAACCGGTGTCTCTGGTTTCCCAAACTATCTCATCTACTTGGGCCCAAATACACCCATTTCCAATGGCAGCCTGATGGGTAAGATTTTACATACGACCCCCCTGAGCAAAGCACCTCACACTCATTCTCCATACAGGGCCTTTGGAAGCAACTAGCGACTACTTCATACGTCTGCTCCAAAGAATGATTAGAAATCGCGCGCTCTCCTTTGACGTACGCCAAGATGCGCAAGAGGATTTTGACAACCACACGAAAAGCTTCATGAAAGGAATGGTGTGGACGGGAACATGTCGCAGTTGGTGTGAGTTACCATGCTCGATTTATTTCCTTTGGTGCCTGTCTCACAAGACGCAGTTAAGCGGGCAAACGATGGCAAGGTGACAGCTCTGTGGCCAGGAAGCTCGCTTCATTATATGCAATGCCTTGCTGAAGATAGGTGGGAAGACTACGAATGGAGATATGACAAGGAGCGCTTTGCGTACTGGAAAAATGGATTTTCTTGGATCGAGAGACCCGAGATGGATCAAATTGGGCTACAGGCGCAACGGTCAATGGAAACGATGACTACTCTGCCACGCAGCACGTCGGATTTAGCCTTTTACATATGTAAGGCTGAAAACCTGTCGCGATCAGAAATATCATCGAACGGCGAGAGTCTGGTTCACAATGTGGAGAACATCAAGTCTGCGGAGGCAGAGAGCCTGGGAGAGCACGATAACCTCGCTAGAGACAAGGAGCCAGCTGCAGCAGCAGACCACCCTTGTATCACAGTCCCAGTTTAGGTCTTGCGTGTAGAGATTTTATATACATATACAAGAAGTATGAGAGCCGTTGGAGGCTGTAAGACCTGCAGGGCTTTGATCATTTGGTCAAGTTCCCGATGGCGCGGCTGTTCTATAGCGGATGGAACTCAGGGTTCTACAAAGATACTTGTAACTATAACGCCAACCTACCCTCCGCATTTAGCCCTCGTGTTGTACTCCAACAAATTGACGTTTCCAGTCATGCAGCGCCACTCGGCTTTCATCCCGACTCCGACCCGTGATCGGGCCGTCCAGGCCGCACTCGTACTCCCACCTTCCACACACGAGTTGGACATCCACAGCTCATGTAAAAGAAGCTCAGTAGGCTTATACTCTAATCAGGCCTGGGTTCATTCATCACGCGAAATTCATTGAATCATTCATTCATAATGGCACAATCCGTCCAATGCTACTACTTACCCCCCAATTCCGATGTACCAAACAGCCCGCTGCCAGTGCTACATTATCGCGGGGTACTGCCTTCGGATGCGACAGAGGACATGGTCACAAAGTTTCTGACCGCAAACACTTGGGAAAAGAGAGTACGCGACCGGGAAGAGGGACTCATGAGTTATGCCATGCTAGCGCTAATGAATACTTGCCGGCCAGGGCGCCTGGGGGCATATTGGCATCCGCCATTTCCATCCAAACACGCACGAGTGCTATGGTACGATTGTCTCGAAGCGGATCGCCTTGTGTCGAAAATTTGTCATCTAATCTTGGCAGGAATCGTCAGCGGCCGCTCTACAATGCTTCTCGGCAAGATCAACGACGGCACAGGCGTGGACGTGGAAGTGCAAAGGGGAGACGTGATTGTGCTTCCCGCGGGGACCGCACATTCTAGTATTGAGAGTACGCCTGATTACTTCTATATCGGAGTCTATCCACGAGTAAGTTCCACTGTGTGGCGGACATGTCATGATATGCGCATACTTAGAAGCTTGATAGCGTCATCCGTGGTGGGTAAACGAGCACGGCCAAAACCCAGCGACACACTTTCGATCCACCATTCGAGCCGTCGAGATGCCTGAAGAGGACCCGGTATATGGAAAGGACGGACCGCTTTTGAAGTTGTGGCACCCTCAAAGCCTGGCGAAGCTGTAGTCTAGGGGGTGCGACACAGCATCCTTGGTGATGGAAACATTTGATGTTGAGGGGATCAAGACATCCGCGCCGCTTGCATTAAACATGCTAACATACTTTTTGGTGTCCTCCATGATGAGCTGTAGACAAGATACATGCGCCGAGCCCGACTAATTGCATCATTATTTACATCATGCCGTTGCTGCCAGCGTTCCAAAAGAACCCAGGGTTGAGAAACTGTTCAATATCGAAGTACTGGAGATTGGAAAAGTCCATCGGGAACCCATCCATCCATTCTGTTCCATCCGACAGTGTCGGAGAAGCTTCGGAAACTACTTCTACTGGGTTCGCCGGACACACCTTCAAGATGTCGTTTAGGGCCGAGGCGAACATCTCTTTGCCCCTTTGATGCAGCAGCACCAGTGAGCGAGCCGTCTTCAACGCATCTTCAGTAGCTTTGGTATTGTATACAGCCGAGATGTCTTTCAGGCACTGCATGGCATCTCTGAGTTGGGAGATGGACGAGACGGTATCTATAGCCAACAGGACGCAGACGATCTGAAACGGCACGTAGGCCATGTGATGCCAGGGCGCGCGAGCAGCCAGGATGGCCTGTGCGGCTTGGATTCCATTTGTCGTGAGTACTAATATCTTTTGAAGAATGGACTCGGTAAGCGAGACTTCCAGTGATCGTAGTCGGCGACAGAGACAGAGTGCCAAGTTACATTGAGCAAGAACCGTGGGTGGGGTCGAGTGAGCACGGTTTAGCACCGTGTGCAGTGCCGTCTCCAGTTCCACTGCGGTTGGCTTTCTCTCTGGATCTAATTCTATCGAGAATGGTAACAGCTCACTTATTTCGTACGTGTAATCGCCCGGCCGTGGTGTGGGCAGCATCATTATGGATATATTGGAGAAGGAGACGCGCGTAAGCCCCATGTCGAATGACATCCAGATGTTGAGGTGTTGTGCGACTAGTACTATTCTTCGTGCAGTTTCAGAGTCAACCTCCTGCCGCGTGGAGGGAAGAGCAGACTCGCTTGATGATTCAACCGTCAGGCCGGCTGCCTCAATCATGTGCATTACCATGCTGCTTGCCATCCAAGCTTCATAGTGTGTCCCGGCGACTCTGAGGTAAACGACACGAAGCAACCAAGCTGTGATGCTAGTTACCGTTGCCGGCGTGGACATGGATTGCTCAAGCAGTATCCTGGCCGACTCTACCAGGTCAAGCTCAACCTGGTCTGAGTGGACTTGAGAGAAGAGACAGCCAAGGGCCGCGATTCCGCACAGCACTGCATCTGGAGCTTGCTGAACGATCTGCGTAGTCCATCTCAGTTGGATATGCCGTGTCACTTCGTGGCGGTCTATGAATCCGTATGTTGGATCCACCTGCTGGAAATAGACGGTGGCAAGTTCCTGCATCCTCTGCAGAGATAGCAACTCTGTAATGGTGTGATAGGCCGGTATGCGCTTTGCCTGGCGGGATCCGAGAAATGCGTTCCAGGCAAAGGTGTGCATCCGTGGGTTCTTCTTGGGGTCCAACCTCAACGCCAGCTTTCTGACAAAGGCAGATCCAGAGTTGGCCTCCAGCGAACGAGTCTGATTGTGCGGGGTGACCCCCGATGTCGATTGCGCCGCGTCTTCAGGAGAAGCTTGCGCACTCATAAGACGCACCGCCACCGGCGTTGGAGGTTTGATGGCCGGCGCCGTGTGCTCCAGACTCTGTGGCCGGCGACTCTTTCTCGTCTTGCCTTCGTGGTAGATACACTCATACTCGAACCGCACGCACGTGCCGCACGGCCGAGCGCCATCACACCTGCGTTTGAGGTCTCGGCATGTCTGGCATGCAAGCCTGGAGCGCTTACGCCCCGTTGTTGACGGAGTCATGACAGCAAAGAAGCCTTGGCCTGTATGCCCGCCAGAGCCTCCGAATGGGGAGAGACAAGTGGCACAATGGCCCAATGATATTTGACGGGAACAACGGGTTATCTGAGGTACATTAGAGAGGCGTGCTCGACAAGGCTGAAGCCGAGGGAACAAGGATGCATCAAGCCAAACATTGGGAGACGTCGGATGAGAAACGCGATGCGGACATCAAACGACGGCCGATTTGGGCTTAGCGCGGGCGGCAAGAGCGGCAATAGCGGGAAGCGACTCTCATCGCTCGAGCCGAGGAGCCCAGAAGCAGAATTGCCAGACAAGACGGGCACAGGAGATGAATAATGTCGGTTTTTGTCGCCCGTGATGGAGAATATCGGACTACGTTGATCGTCTTCGAGTGTGGTTTAAAAGCCAAGCATCTGCACCCTTCACCCCCTCCCAAGTAGTGTCGCAGTGTAACGCGACTGTATCACTGTATCACATCACGTATTGGCAACACAACCACTTACAAACCAACAAGAGCGGCACAACAACGCTGCCGGTACCAACCAGAGGCCTGTGCAACATCACAAGATGCAGCCACAAAAAGAAACCTACCCCGCGACCGATCTGCGCATACAGAGCGATGCAGAAACAGACCAGGCGGGCTTGAGCGATCAGGAATCGCCTGCCAAACCCTCCGCACCGCCAGATGGAGGCGCCACTGCTTGGCTTCATGTCGTATTGATGCATATTGTCTTCTTCAATACCTGGGGTGTGGCCAATGGATACGGCGTCTTCCAAGAATACTATACTCGCACCCTGGGGGAGACGGAATCCTCCATAGCCTGGGTTGGGAGCGTCCAGGTCTTCTTCCTGTTTGCCATTGGCGTAGTTGCAGGCCGAGTAACGGACGCTGGCCATTTCCGCGTCACCTTTACGTTTGGCGTGTTGCTGCAGCTGTTGGGGTTGTTCATGACTTCGCTGTGCGCGGCGTACTGGCAGGTCTTCCTTGCGCAAGCTGTCTGCCTTGGCATCGGCAACGGTTGTACCTTTTGCCCAGCGCTGTCGATTCTCTCGCAGTACTTTCAAAAATACCGTGCTTTCGCTGTTGGCCTTGCGGCCGCCGGAGCGGCAGTTGGGGGTCTTGTGTATCCCGTCTTATTTCACTGGCTCATCTTTCACGATAATTTCGGCTTCCCCTGGACCCTGCGAATTATGGGTTTCATTATGCTGGCGACATATCTACCCTGCATATTCTTGTTTAAACCCCGTCTGCCCCCCAGAAAGTCGGGCGAGTGGACAGACAAGTCAGCATTTGCCGACGTTGCCTTCATATTCTTCTCATTAAGCATGTTTTTAAATTTCTGGGGGCTATATTTGGCCTTTTTTTACCTGGGGACCTTTGCCCGCGACAAGATTGGCATCAGCGAACCCATCTATTTATTAATGGTTCTCAACGGCGTCGGCATCATTGGCCGCATTGCCCCGACCATCATTGCTGATAAATGGGTTGGAATGTTGAACATGTTGATCCCAATCAGCTTTGCTGCCAGCTTGCTCGTTTACTGCTGGGCCGCCGTCAGCTCAGCTGCCGGACTTTACGTATTCGCAGTCATATATGGTCTACTTGCGGCGGCGTTGCAGGCCCTCTTCCCAGCTGTTGCCACAACCATGACGCCAGACCCGAGTCGAACCGGTACCAGAGTTGGCATGATACTCAGTTTTGTCAGCTTCGCCAACCTGACGGGGCCGGCCATATGCGGTGCAATCCTCCAAAAACAAGGGGGAGATTATATTGGTGCACAAATGTTCGGGGCGTCCTCCATTTTTCTTGGCGCGTCAATGGCATTGGCCGCGAGGATCGCCAAGGCCGGGACAGATTTAAAACGAAAAGTATAGACGCGTATGAGCAAATCACTTTGTATAGACCTTATAGAGCAGTCGCAGACATCGTTGGAGGATATTTTTGCGGTTCGCAGTACTCCGTATAGATTTAGATTAGAACAGAGGAAGCTGATGCCAAAATATAAGAAAGAATGTTTCTTCGCCTTGTTTTGCCTGTCCTTGAGTGAAACGCTCGGAGGCAACCGAGAGCTTGAACAATTTTGTCGGGTCAATATTGCACGCCCGCAAAGACATTCCGACCATAAATTCTTACCATTTGTGGATGCTAACTGCACACTCTCTATCCCCTCTGGTGTGTTAAGGCTCCAGTGGGGTTACGAGCTCCACAATGCACATGCTGATAGCGGGTGACCTTAGGGCGACCGTTAATCGCGCTAGGACTGTACTAAGTTAAATGTAGTGACTTGTAAAATATTATCTTATAGGTACACTTATGGTCACTTAATATCATAGTAAGTAAATTCTGCTTTTTAAATTTAGCTTCTTATTGGATATATATCCCTGCAGATACTCGATTGGAGCCTTAACACACCAGAGGGGATAGGGATCGGCACACCATATCCACATGGAGCGATGATCGACGAAAGAGTGGTTGCAACAATGGTTGAGGAGGCGCGGGCCAACCCACGTGTTACATGCGTTTTTAGGCTTAAAAAGTCTCGGCGCCTAGGCTACTACTTTTTGCAACGGGCCAAGTCTAATAACTAGCTGGGCTTGCACTCTCAGGCCGAGATAAGCTGCGTCCAGATAGACGAGCTCTTACTCGCCTTTTCTCTTTTCGTTCTTATTTTATATTACAGTAGTTGCCTAGCCAGCTGCCAAATACACTCGTTTAGACTAAACTCGGTATTAGGGACTGCTGTCTTTTGTTTGTAGTAGCTCCTTGACCCAACTGGTATTCCTAGGCTATTGATATTATGCAACTTGTTATGTTCTGGTTGTGTGATTGTGGATGAATCAAGCTATTATGTTGCTAGAACAGCGTGTTAAGCGTTATATTCGGTAGAGTAAAAATACAAGTCTTCTTAATTAAGTTAAAATCTTTTCTTTTACTATTATATTTAACCCTTGTGAGGTCGGCTATTCGGCATTATTAGCCCCCTGATTGCGCAGCGCTTTTAAGGGAAAACGAAACGACGGGGCATCATAGCAAGTTGGCAACGTAGATATTAGCGTTCTCTATGTTGCTTTCGGGGGGTTGTGGGGGAGGTCCTTGGGGTGCGTGTTGACTACGACTTCGTTGCCATGGAGGT